TATTATATATAATATATATTTTTTTATATATAATATTTTTTATATATAACATATTTTATATATAATATTTTCTTTTCTTATAAATTAGATATGATTAGGTATGATAATCCTAAGGTCCGATTTCAGTGGCTGAACTAGTGTACACTTTTGGAATTTAAAGTGAGATAAGATACGTAAATATTTGTCAAAAGCGAGAAAGAGAGTTCTAGAGCAGTCTAGAGCATAGTGGAAGAAGATATTTTCCATCATCATGATTTAGAGCAGTCTGGGACAAAAAACAGACTATTTAACGCGACGGAGGAACGATGATACCACAGTTGTGATGCTACCACAGTTGAATACACATTGTACAGTACACAGTATTATGGTATGATATATCACAGTATGATGTACCATCGAGAGTCTGTGTTGATCTGGGAAGACTGTAAGAAAATAAGTAGCCTAACTCGCCGTTTCCAACAGCGAAGTCGGCGATCAAAAGAAAAAGAAAAAAAAAAGAGTTCGATAACATGAATCTCATCAAACGCGTCCTGATGCTTATACTAATTTTTACAAAATCTCTCACGTTTGTACAAGGCGAACTTATAACACTTAGTGCATTAAGTGTGCCATTAAGTTTTTTAGGTTATTATGCGTACGGCAAGTACAAATGCATGTACCAGGAATGCTGCACAGATGAATACATTCCTGCTGACTTGGATAGTGAGTATAAATCCATGTAACTTTTTCTTATAAAATAAAATTAGATTTATGTATTGTCATTAAATAGAATTGAAGATATTTTCAATCCAATACGTGATTCGTATATGCGGATTTATTTTTGTTAAAAGTGATTTAATGCATTATTTATTTCCTTTAATATTTTCTGATGATCATTGATTATCATTAGTTTTTGTTTAATTATTAATTTGAAATAATTTAATTATCAGAAATAATTTAATTATCAATTTATATCAGAATATTGTAACTTATTTATACTTAAAAATCAATAAAATTAGACTTATTCGATGCGTTTTTGAAAGAATGTGGCAGAAAACAGTGCCGCTCTGCCCGAACCGAGATATTAAGCATTGAAGTTGACTACTATTGAGGTTAGGAAATCTGTCACAGAGGCGAAATGGTCTATATATTATATTATGTGTTGTACTATAAGTTTTACGCGAAGCGATTCACTCTTCCTCTCCCTCTCCTTCCTTTCTTCCTGCCAAGGGGCGCACGACTTCTATTCTTTTTTCTGCCAAATTCTTTTATTTCATGCAAAAACGCATCAAATAAGCCTAATTTTATTGATTTTTGAATTGTGGAAGCTAAACTGTATAATTACCATCTATTTTTTTTATCTTATATATATACATTTACACAGAAATATTCAAAAATTATTGAAATTATAGGATTAGAATATGTACTTACTGCTAAATTATACGGGCAACAAATTGCTCATGAAACGATCATAAATGCACTTCGGGGCCACTTGGAAAATCACAATTCACATAAGGCGTTGGTCATGAGTTTTCATGGCACACCAGGAACAGGCAAGAACTATGTCGTGCAAATGATTGCCAAAGCTTTTTATAAAAATGGTATTCAGAGCAACTATTTCCATTTTTTCAATGGCCGTAATGATTTTCCTCTGCAACGAAAAGTAGATGACTACCAGGTATACATTCAAATGTATAATTCATGTAAATTTATATGTATAATTTATTATAATAAAAGAAAATAAATTAATGGACAATTTGTTTTTGTAGGAAGAATTGTATAAAATTATTTTCAATGGTCTGCAACAGTGTGAAAGATCGATGTTTGTGTTCGATGAGGTGGATAAAATGCCAGAGGGTCTACTAAATGTACTGGTACCATTTCTAGATTACAGCAATTATCACAAATCCACTAAAAATAGCAATTCCGTATATCAGAACAAAGCTATTTTTATATTTCTCTCAAACACTGGCAGTACCAAAATAGTGCAGCATCTCAAAAATCTGTGGGAGAACGGCAGGAAACGGGAGGACACAAAACTACAGGATTTTGAAACACTCATAGCTGGTGGAGCGTTCAGTGAGAAGGGCGGTTTCCATCATAGCGACACTATACAGACTAGTGTGATTGATCATTATGTGCCTTTCCTACCTCTTGAGGAAGTGCATGTTAGAAAATGCTTGGTAAAGTCTTTCACAGATCGAGGTGTCATTCCGACAGAGGAGATGTTACAAGAGGCACTGTCGTATTTAACTTTTGGCCCCGAGCCGTTTAATCTGTACTCGATGGCAGGCTGTAAGAGGATAGAACAGAAAGTTGCTACTATTGTGTATCGTAAACAATCAGACTCCAAAACTATTGATTGAAATAATTTAAAATATTTAATAAAATAATTTAAAATTTTTAATAAAAGTAATAATACTGATGAGATATTGTGTAAGTATTTATATAACATCTCGATAAGATCCTTTATTGATAGAGTTTCTTATTGGCACACTCAGAAAAATATATGTCTAATAATTAAAAAAATAGTAAACTTAATTTTTCATACTTACAATAAAATACAATATATATATATTTATATATATATATGAAAGAGATAAATATATATATTTTTGTATCTATATATAGTTGTTCGATATAATTAGCAATATATCTAGTAAAAAGAGAATAATTTCTCAATTTTTTCGAATAAATTTTTTTATAACTTATTAATTTGGGTGCTTGGAATAACAGTATTTTACGAGCTTAATAAAATTTGGTGTATTTTTTTCTCTTAGGCTTAATACCTAAATATTACTATTCTATCCATTTGGACAGAATTTTGATTGGCACTAATTGAGCTTACGATAAATTAATATTGTTAGGCAGCATTTCTTTCGTAGACTTATAACTTGTTACTCCAAACAACAATCAGAAAAATTTACATATAATTTTATTTTATCTATCTATCTATCTATATATATATACACACAATATTATAAAAGTTAATTAATAGACATCTGTAGGATATTATCAAGAATCAGAACATCAAACATTTGCAAAATAAATGTGATTCTTCGATACATATTTAACAACTCGAAATGAATACAATTTATGCAAATTTACTTTGCAGACTTAACGATCTTATTCTATAATGAGAAATTGCTCTCTTTGTTCTCTAATTACCGAACACCCTGTATATAATTTGTGTACGCATTTGTTCGCAATTTAAATATAACTAGAAATACTATTTTTTATTAATTGTACGGATAGGATTATGTACAATTAATATCTGGCAATTGACTCTGAAATTTAATCATAAAGAAAAAAGTTGTCGGTAAGATACAGACCGCCATAGAATATGCCCATAAAAAATGAAAAAAGAGGATCGATAGCAGATACATCTTTTAAACGAAAAATTCACTTTTTGTTAAAGTTGAAGTGGAGAACTATGCATCTATAAAGATGTATAGTATTTCTCTTTGCTATAATATTTCTCTTCTTTTAATTTTCTTTAAGAAAAATTTAATTCTCAAGAAAACAATCTAGTTCCTATCTTTTTAGGGCATTTTATAGGCACTTATATTTTTTTAAATCACGTACATTTTCGCACAAACAACTTTAATCTTTATGATATTATCGCCTAACGATAATCAGGAATGCCGCATCGCAGTAAAATATGTATATAAAATATACATATATATATATATTTACGCAATTATCTTTATAATTCTATACACGTAACTAACAATATTTTTCTAAGTTGTCTAAGTGAAGCGCCAGATATACATTATGCGTTCGGATCTTGTTAAACACAATAGAACAGTAGCATCACCCACAGAAAAGTTTTTTCAATGCAAAGAAATGTTTCTTTGCTATACGGTTAAAGAAAAAATTTCTTTGGTTTAAAGAAATTATGTTCAAATCAAAGAAATTTTTTCTTTAACTATATAGCAAAGAAACATTTTTTTAAATTAAAGAAACCTTTCTCTGAGTGATCGAAGTTGTGCGTGCGCTATGCAAGTTGTGCATATATTTACCTATATTTTTTTACAACGCAAAAATGCCTCGTGAATGAACTCGTCTTCTTATCCTTTTCTACTGAGGTATGCGTCGATATCATGATTGCAATGTAAAATGATTACCACGATGTTTGTCAGCCATCGAATGGTCAACAAATTAGATCGTTGCATATAAAATGTCGGTTTTACAGTTCCAAAAAAGATATAAAAAAAGATTTATATCTAATATAATAATGTGATTTAAATCATATCCAACTTTGTGTATATTGTAGCATTTTATTTTTTATGTTTTATCTTCAGTTTAATATTCTTCATATTGTAAAGTTCAATTAATAGTTATCCAGGAGATTGATGTATCTCTTTCTGAGTGTAAAATTTTTATCATAAACGTCACATGATTAAAAAAAATATCAAATAATATTATACATATCTGCTACAGAAATATTTTAGAAATTTTTATCAATTTATACAAAATGATTTATATAATTTGACAATTTAAATTTACATAAGAAGGATGCAACTTCGTAAAAGAATTGTGTCGATATTTTGTCAAAATATAATAATCGATGGTCACACATAAAAGACATCTAATCGGGAACTTTGAAATCCGACTTTATATGCACCGATATAATAACTAATTCATTCTTAATAATCCTATTCCTCCTCTACATACTCTTTTGGAAAGAATCCTATTTGATCGCCTATTTTACCTTTCCACCATCCTTTGGCATCACCTTCTTTGCTCAACACCACTACTCGACAACCACGTCGTAAGCTTAATTGATTGCGTTCGCAGCCGCGGAAATCGAACAATGCCTTGGCCAAGACACGCCGGTAGGGCCATAATAGGCGTTGATCTAATTTCTCGAAGTTCTCTGAGAGTGATGCCCGCTCGTAATATTCGACCAATTCAACAACACTCTTGAAAAATCGAGACTCGCTGAGATAGTACAGATCCGCTCCATCCACGTCACGTTTGAATACTCGGATATGTTTTACCGCCCCTTCCGCTCTGAAAAAATATAATATTTAATGAAAGGCTTTAGAAAATTTAAGTAAAATAAATAGAATTAGAAAAAAATGTTTAACTCTAAATATTTTTTATTTCATAGTTGTGTTCAACAGAAAAATTGCACGTTTCAAGCCAACGATATATTTCAATAATGAAAAGTTGTATATAAATAATTTGCCTGATAGATATTCGGAATATATCTATTAATGCGGAAATAATTGTATATCGTTGAAGGTTTGAAACCAAAATGTACGATTTTTTTGTTGGACACAATTATGAAGTAAATATATGTCAAGTACAATATAGAAATAAATGTATAAAAAACTAAAGTTAAATTTTCCTAAAACAAAGACATTTTTAGTCGTTCAAACTTACTTGATACTAAGGGCATAATTGGTTTCATGTTTGAGACGTGGTTGTCCAGTTGGACGAACGCGCAGCATGTAAGTGCCATCGTCGCGGGATTCCAATTTATTGGAAGCTGCATCTCTGCCCATCTCCCCGACGAACCATAATTTCGCGGCGAGCGCACGTTCGCAGGGTAGTGGCGGTGGAGGTGTCGGCGACGTCGGCGTAGGCATACAACGACCCGAGTGCGCGATACACTGCTTGTGTACGGCAAGACGACATGTCTCGCATTTGTAGCCCTATATGATACAACACTCGATTAAAATTGTAATTTGGATTTTTTGATATCAATTTTTGAGAGATCAAGAAATAAAATTGCAAATTTGGAAAACGTAAATTATTGATCTATACATTACGCATTTTTTAAAACTTTAAAGCATTTTAATTCTTTAAATTGAAATGTAAATTCTAAAAGTTGTAATTCTATATCTTATTATCTATATATAATTTTTAGCATAAATTTTACATGTTTGAATTGTATATTCTTCATACAATTATAAGTAGTTGATAGTGCAAAAACTTTAAATATGTCATTAGCTAATTATTACCTGGAATATGCGGCCTTTAAGGAATTTTCCACATCGTTGACAACTTTTAGGAGTATCAAATGTTGTTAACTTGAATTTATGATTGGTATTTCGACAGGCTGCGGGATTAACATTATCCATCGCATCCTGCAATGCCTTTATCCACATCTGCTTCTGCTCTTCTGTTCTCGCATATAAAGTATATGCCGTGTATGCTTGCTTATGTACAAGTAGCCACTGATAAGACCAACGTGAATCTCTGCCTAAAGTTCGGCGTCCTATGTGATCTTCCAGTCTATAGTCATCTAATCGTAGAGTTTCCCGGTAACAATATTGATCTCCTCTGCCAGCTTTGCAAATCAATACCACTTGCTCGAATACAAATGCATAACGTGCTTTTATCCGTTGGTCGCCATGAGCTTTCACCTGCAGAAAAAACTGAATTAGCTACGGTTCCATATTAAGTTAACTTTAAGTCTATTGCAACGTTTTCTTGGAAACTAACAAAGTGTACATATTTTTGTTTGATAATATATTAGGTAAACCTTAAGCTCGCCGTCACGAAGTAATCGGCCGAAATCCTTCAGCTGCGCGTCTTCAGGGACATCCCAGTCGATTATCGATGCTTGGATGTCCTTTATGATGTCCAGTGTGTCGGAATCGCGTTTTACTTCATTTATGTATTGAGCAACATCGACCATCACTTCCCTCGCCTTCGCTAATGCACGGAAATCCTCTATCCACTCGCGAGGAGTTTCCTCTACCAACTTATCCAACAGCAAGTGATACTTGAGCACCCTCTGCATCGGCACAGATAGTATATCGCTCAGTTTAAATTTATTACTGTTAGCTTCTTGTTCACACCTCTGTAATAAATATCATTGTTAAAATAGTTCAAATATATTATCTTTTTTAATCAATTAGTAATTTTTATGGTAGAAATTTTTAGAGATTATATCGTAGTAAATTTGACAAAATATTAACTGCTTTTTCCTTATAAAAGGGCTAAATGTAAAGCTTTTAATTTTCTTTATCCGTTTAATTTGATGATTTCATGATTTGCATTATGAAACTTACGACAACTTCTTGATTGACTATTTCGTTACGCGAGCAGGCTTCCTGCAGAGTATATTGTGCTAGGGTGAGATTTGCGCAATAATCGCCGTAAATGAGAAACTTCTCCCGCCAGTCGAGGAAGACTTGGGCGATTGCGGCGCCGTTTCGCGCCTTACGTAGCTGACTGTGGAAGCCCACATGAATCTCTGAGAGTTGCTTGATACCGAAGAAAATACGGGCGGAATCTTCGGGTCGGAGTAACGACGACAATGGTCGGACGAATTGTCTAAGTAAGTTACTGAGAACCTCTGTATAATTTCGCTCAGTTTCCACGAGTTCCTGGATTACGTAATCTCTTTTCTCTCCTCCAGAAATGGCACTACTCTGTTGCACGGAAATTATCTCGATAAATAGAAACGCTTTTGTGCAAATTATAAAGTAGTATGCAAGGTGTAAAGCGGAGCGCATGGTGAATAACAAAATTAACCATATATGAATGCGATAATAATAAATTCACTTTCCTATGGACTCAACACCGAGATTAAATATTGAATACATTCATATAATATTTCTGCGTTTTAATACAAGATCTTTCTGATTAGCTGCGTCTCCTTCAAATGATGATCGAAAGAGAAGTTTGAGGATATTTTATAATATAAAAAATTATAAGAAAACAAGAGAAATAAGGACAAACAATGATGACCTGCGCAACTGACGGAGGTGGTGGTAAATGTAGACTACAGAGGTCCTGATAGATCTCTTCACTCTGTGCGTGGCTGCAAAAAGCTCCATACCCCTCCTCCTCTCCGACTGGATCCTCATTATCTCTTCCACCACCCATTTCGTCGCCTTCGCGTCGCCTAAATCTCCTGCGACGACCCTCATCTTCGCGGCTTTAAAACACACACAAAAAAAATACGGCCATGCACTATGACATGCATACTGATGGGAATTGCTAAGTTCTCGGCAAAAATCAAATCATAATACAGCACAATTATAAGGTCTGCCACTGATGATAACTGCGATCGATATCTAATTTCAACCTGAAGAATAAAACAGTGCCATCATTGTATCACATAGACGTATATATATAATTTAATTTTAATGCATCAACATGTTATTTAATGGTATATAATATTCGTATATGTGTGTATATATATATTTCGGAAAAAATATCATATATTTCAAAGTTTGTGCTTCATAAAGCACAATAAAGATCCTGGGTATCAATCATGAAACTTTATCTCTAGGATGGAAAGTGAAAAATGAAAAATTTCTCCATTAATTTCAATGATAAAAATTTTCACTTTTCACTTTTCATCCTAGGGATAAAGTTTCATGATTGATACCCTGAGCCTCTTTCACACAGAAATATCTGTTTACATCAAAAATATACCATGCACAATAAAAATCCATCTGTATAAAAAATATACCATGGATAATAAAGATTTCCAATATTAAAAAAAATAGCTTTTTTCTTATAAAAATAAATGTAACTTATAATGTTTCCCAGAATAGTAAATTTGTATAAATGAAACAAAGCTGAGGCAAATAAGTTTTAAATCATATTATAACATCTTATTTATGTATTTAAGAATTTTTTGATTCGTGTTTTTGGATCATTTATACTATTTATAGATTAAAGAAGCTGCATTTGCGAAAGAGAAGGATACAATGATGGCTGATATTCTTTCAGTAAAAAATGTTCTTAAAATTGTTAAGCCATAAAATGGCGTATACCTTCTCCGCAGAAGGCCAGTTACGTTGAGAATTACTCGAGAAGTAGAGCAATTCTTCATAAACCCGAGACTCATCTACGTCCACAGTCCTAGTTTTTAACGCCACGTATCCATATGTGGCACTAAATCAATTAATATAAAAGTAAACTCTTTGTTGTTATTTATTTTTGACAAGTCAAACAGTGTAATTACTTCTTTTATCGATCGTTATTAAAAAGAAATACATATATATCTGTATAATGTGAATGGAAAGAGAAGTTTTATTTTAACAAAGAGACAAACCTTAATATTTTAGAGTCAAGATATAACATTTCTTGTCATTTAATATTCAATAATTTATATATAAATTAATAAGGTACGAAAATATAATTTAGTAATGGATTCTTACCCTGCTCCGGCACTTTGTAAATCCTTATAGATATCCTCTTGCGATCTTCCATGACCAACGGAGAATCCACTGTCAGAAATATATATTTCCTTATTATTTCTTATTCATGTTATAATTATTAATCTATTTATTTTTCAATTGTGACAAATTGATGATAATCAAATTTTAATATGAATAAATGCAGATATCGACAGATTACTTACGTTATACCTTTTCGCCTTAGTCGTGGACAATTGGATAAGGCGGAGAGTGTGCAGAGAACGCGATGGAAGTTAGAAAGGTCGAATAGCATTAACGGCTCAAAGAGTTCCGAATCGGAGAGACCAAAGACATTCGAGCACGCTGATAAAAATACTTTTATATTACGCAAGCAAAGAAATTGTGCCATTTGCGGTTTTTGATTCACGTCTTTCATGTCTATGCATCCCGCATCTACAATGTTCAATAGATTGCACAGCAATACACCATCCCGTAATGTATAGGCCAAGTCGAATGCAGTTGCCTGTGGCCAATTGGCTTTGTGATCTGCTCGTAGTGCGCCACATCTGATCAACCATCTGGCAGATTCATGCCAAGCCTTATTAGCATCCACACTGTCTGTCCTATTCATTTTGATACTTCTTTGTTCAACGGTTAGGACATTGAAGGCACATTTATAATTTTGTTCAATGATTAAGACATTGAAGGCACAGTTATAATTTTGCAGATATTTCATGCATTAGATTCCAAGGTTCCATTCATCAGGCTGCTATCCTATTAAATATAAAAATATCATAGATTAAATAGATATAATTATTATAAAAAGAATATGTAAGTTTCTTTAGCAAGTTTCTAAAGTTCTTTAGCATTTATTATAATAAAAAAAATTATTAAAATAATAATGAGTTTAAACAAATTGAGATTACAAAATACTAAGCATGAAATTTTTTATGATAAATATTTAATATGTGACACCCTATCATAAAATTCAAGATAACTACTAACGTAAAAGTTATATTATGAAATATTATTTGATTTAATTGAATATTATAATGTAAGAAATAAAATATTTTGTTATACACATGTTTTGATATTCGTTGCAATAACTAATTATAAAATAATAATTATATCCTCTGCTAATACAATAATATATATTCATAATATTATAGACACTAAAATAAGAACTAAGACACTGTCAATAAGGTTTTATCCTTATTATTAAAAGCTACATTTACATATCAATGTAAAAATGTTAGCGTAAAAGAATTTTCCTACAAAATAAGTCGCCGTTAGAGAGATCAATCTGTGAGATTAAATCGCATGTGCGTGATCTTTATCGTCTCTCAATCTCGGCTATTACAAGTGGACTGACCGACAATTTCAAGCCGAGCATCTCTCGAACCATGGAAGGGCCTCTTCGGGACACTGAAACGGAAGTCATCGCACAACTTGTTATTCTCTTTCGGGGCTAACAATACTCAGTGCGCGATCCGTTGTAGCGGCGCTCGTGGATTCGCTCGGTAGTCCGTGGATGGTATCATCGGCTATCGCGGCATCCCTTCTCCTGCGAGAAGGGAGAAAGACCACACAGACGTAAGTGGAGAAACGGAGGAAAGGCTGAATGCACGGAACCCTTTGGAGAGTCCTTAGAAACTGGAGTCACCGCAATGCGCGCGTATAGTCGTGGCGTAGCCTCGTGCTGCACATCGCGCGTCACTCGGTCATTTTTACCGCGACACTTGTCGTGACGTTCACTCCGCGTTACCTCCGCATGATGAATTCGCATCCGCCATACCACCACAGAAACCACTGCACGAATTGATTGTGACTGACGATACCGCTACTCCACTCTCTAGTCCGAGCAGTGCTGAGCGGCGAATCGCTCCGTGCTCCGTGCGCTGGGTCGATTGGGTATCCCACAGGAGTCAGGACCGGCCACACACGTTCGGGAGCCTTGCGCGTGTACCGGATGTCGCGACGCGACCGGATGTAGATTTTTTTTCAGTTTCATCACACCGAATTTTCACTATTTTGATTTTTACTCGATGAAAATCAAAGAAGCAAAACAAATTGCACTAATCAAATGTAGAGATTAAAAAAAGTAAAATATAGATTTTTAATAAAATTTAATAAAATTTTGATTTTTTCATATATTGTAGGTACATTATATATATATTTTTAAAGATTTTTAGCATTTGTCCGTGTAATTCTATAAGTATACTAAATTTATAATTTTCTTTGTGTTTTAATTTATAATTTTCTTTGTGTTTTAATATATAATTTTCTTTGTGTTTTAAATATATAATTTTATAGCCTTTTATACATAATGTATTTCAAAGTTTTAAATGAGAAGAAAACATTTGTATTAAGGCAATTTCGATCGAACTTTGATTAATTTAATCGACGATTAATTTAATTGGTAGAATTGCTTAAAGTAAAATTTCTAGTTATATAATTCATAGTCCCTAATCAAACTTTTTGATGTGTTAATTAACAAAAATTAATTATGCTACTTTACTAGGATAATAAAGATATTACTTAATAAGATAATTAATTGAAATTTGAATTTAATAGCTTTAAATAAATATTTTCTTATTACTTGAAGTTACGTGAGTAACAGTATAATCGATTACTCGAATTTCTTAGATCGAATTTCTCGATCTTGTGATTTTGCGCTATCAAGTTAAACGTAGATTTCTCTTTCTCTCTTTCCTTCTATATTATTTTATTTGTTATCATTTATTATATAAAATATTTTATTACACAAATTACTAAAATTTTTTTAAATAATTTAAAAAAAATGCAATGAACATAAATAAAATGAGTACAATGAATATATAATATCTTTTTTTCAATAAACAATAAATTAGAATATTACAAACCAGAACAGCATTCAAATTGCATTAAAAATAGATACACAAGATAAACGGAAGTACAAAATTAAGTAAATTATGTGTACAATAAATGCATAATGCAAAATAATGTTTCAATGTTCCGTTTTATTTCCTCAAAACCGGTTTTTTCATGACTCATATCTAAAGAACAATATAATAATAATAATTGATAACACGTTATTATTTATGTTATTTTAATTATAAATTATAATATATAAATTGTAAATAAGTTAAGTAATTTACAATAGCGTGACATATAATATTATACGTAAGTGATAACCTGATTTTTTACATTCTGTATATATAATGTTAAAACTGTTTCCATCATGCATTACATTTATTTCTCGCAGTAAAGATTTCATATTTTATCACAGGAATGTAATAATGCACAGTCTGGATGCATCGGATGCATGAAAGTGACTATGTGACGTCATTAATGGTCTTCATTCTTCATGGTCAGTTTTCTTTCTTATGCGTCTCTGGAGGTTCGAGTTTTCTGGAGTCTTCACGAAACCTTCGTCATATTTATATTATTGGAATATCTACTCTACAATACAAACTCTACAGTGTCGATATCATCAGTCGAAGAAGCACGCAACTCGTAGAAAAGAGTAGGTGAACATATTTTCTTAGAATGTATTCCGTGTATATAATGCTCATGATGTATCATTTTATCATTGATTGTTGTTAACGAAATATATAAAAGAAAGATACAATAATATATCATAAACATCAGATGTAAAATAGAACGCATTCTTAAATACATTTTTCATTTCGATATATACATATTAAAGTTTTCATTCAGACGCTGCTGCATTCTCAAAGGTCATTGTGTGAACATAGGCGCAGATTGCGTGTGGGGGCGATGCACAGCATCGCTCTGACGTTATCTACGTGTGGAGGCGGCGTGCTATCGCTTTGTCTTCTTCAAATATCTTAGTTTTATTGTGATATCTTTGTCTTTAAAATGTTTAAGGTAATTTAACATTTTGATTGAAAAATGATAATGCGTGAATATTTTTAATATACTGACTCTAAAAAATTTTTGACACAAATTATTGTTGTTGAATTAAACAGCAGAAAAATTAATATAATATTAAAAATTCAAGGAAGAAAAACAGATTTTACTTTTTTTTATTAACTCCAAATAAACATTTTGTTAACTGAAAATGAGATTTAATAGAATTTTTAATATTACATTTTAATATATTAAGATATATTAACAGATTAATAAAATAAATTTTCGAAAATACTGCATTTTTATGTGGGTATTTATAAACATGAAAAATCTATTTTTATTTATAAGAAAATATTAATAAACCTTTTCTTTTTTAATTTATACAAATTTTTCATAAAAATATTTATGTATATTACATAATATAAATTTGGAAATATAAATAATTATTTTATGGGTTTTAAAAATATTATTTTATTAAAGGCGGAATTTAAAAGATAAATCATTATTTTTCATTATTTATACATTATGTAACAAATGCATTTAATACAATGCTTTTCACAATAAAATGGAAGAAATTTTTCATCCAAATTTGAGTAAATGTTATACTTCTTTGCAATTTTTTTTGCAAAATTGCTTTGACGATAAGAAATAGTAACTTTTATCATTTTACATATATATTTTTATGTACATTTTATACAACTGTATTTTTATCACTATGCAAACAATTGTGCAATATTAATGATAATGATTGCAAAAAAAACATGGTAAATTAATGTTATTGCAGCTGTGTTTATGTGTAAATTCGCATGTGTTTCAGATGGTGTTTCGACAGAAATACATGACATTCGCTCCAACGAGTTGAAAATAATGCAGAACTATTCGGCTTTTGTTTTGTAATTTATTGCTACGATGTAATCCGATCATTGATCTGCAAGTGTAGCAGTACATGTACATATAGCAGAAGTGTGTGTTTGTCGATGTATCTTAATTAACACCATTTTATAACTTATTAATGTCTGCTGGTTCGGAGAGCACAGATCACGAACTGGTGTGCTCGCGATCGCTACGAATTTTTCTTGAGTTTGGATATCGATCACGTAATTTGATGATGTTCTTACTATTGTACATAAGTATTTTATTATTTACATGCAATGCGGCAAATCCTCGGTGTAAAGATGAAAATAATCAAATTGTCGATTGGTGAGTGCCTTAAATATATTATATATTCTTATGTTTTCACTACTGGTCACAAATTATAATAATTTTTTAAAAATAAAGTCGACTATTTTAAGTTACTACTTAATTTATAAAAAAATATTTTACAAGAGTAGAATCAAAAGTGGAGGCGCGTTTTTGAAATACGATAAATTGCAAAAGATAAATTATTAATCCTTTCTGCTTATATAAAGAATCTCAAATTCTAGCTACAGACACCTCTTAATTTTTTCAAAATAATAAATAATAAAAATAAAAATTTTGATGTCCTTGGGTTGATTAATCACAAGATAATAAATCTTAGGGAAAAGAGGAAAAAAGTTAAGTATTATACAATATTTCAGAATCAATTGATTTTTATTCACAGCATAGGCAGTATAAATGTATTTCGGATTAAAACTCGGGTACAACGTTACTATTTATTGCATTGTTGAGATGATGGTAAAAGTGCATAATCCGAATTGTATTATATCTTTGTATAAAAAAAGTTGATTGGTCTTAGAAAATATTGAACAAATGTATTTATATTTATGTATAAAAAAGTCAATTGGTCCTAGAACATATTGTATATAATACTTATAAGTTTTTCCTTTTTTCTTTGAAATTTATCACATTGACAAATGATTAATCAATGCGATGACCTCAAAGTTTTTATGTTCTAATATTAATTTTTGAAGAAAAGAGTAAAAAAAAGACTAAAGAGTGTCTAAAGTTAGAGTTTTGGTTTCTTAAGCACAAAAATCTATTTTTTACAAACAACTGTATTTCAGCGCGTTTCTACTTTAGGTCCTTCCCTTAAATTTAAGGATAAATAAAACAATATAAATAGTATGTGAAAAATAATAAATAATATTTAATATTTAATACGCGTACAAAATTCGTATATAATTTTTTAATTGTTATAAT